GTCCAAAGATGAGACGGTAAGTTTTAAAGTTTAGACACTCACACACAGATAACGCATATTATAAAAACTTTTTTGTATAAAATGTATATGTATTTGCAACAGTTATGTTAACAGCAATAATAAGACATTTCTGTAAGAACAGCTATTCAGCTGATGGACACCGTGCTGCGTTGTCACGGTAACATCCCAGGTGAAAATAATGAGGAAATTACGTTGTCTTTCGTTGCTCCCTTCACCAAGTGCGTTCCAAACGGCTAAATAATGGCACACGAGTGCCCTGCATGCTCACTTCAAAGTCCCCACTTCAAGGACTCTTCGTAGGGTGTACGGAATATGGATGCTCACGAGCAATAAGCACGTCCCAGCTGGGTTCGTTCGTCACTTATTGGGCTCCCTGGAAACATTTCCGTTGTGGTCTGTTCTACTTGCAGCGCGATTCTGTATTTGGTTGTGTTGTGAGTATTTGGAGCACACAATGTCACCAATGTGTTGTAAAACTGATGAAGATGTTTTTTTAATTTGCGGGTGTTTTCTATTTGCATGTGTTTTCGTCAGTTGCAGCGCGCTGAGCTCTATTGGCCACCGTACAAGGGTGTAGCAGAGTTACATTCAAGCTATTTTAAGGGATTAAAACTTTTAAATATATAATTTTGGTGATCAAAGGTGAGTTTTAAAGGATAACATATAATTGACTACAGGGGGACTTTGCAAAGTCACTTTTTTTTAAAAGAAATTAATATTTTTATTCAGCAAGGGTGCATTTAATTGCTCAAAAGAAACAGTATAGAATTACACTGTATTTAGATCATGCTGTTCATCAGTTTCTACGAAAATCTTGCAGCACAACTGTTTTCAACATTGATAATAATAATAAAGAAAAATGTTTCTTGAGCACCAAATCAGCATATTAGAAAGATTTTTGAAGGATCATGTGACACTGAGGACTGGTGAAATGGCTGTTGAAAATTCTGCTTTGCCCTTTGCCATCACAGGAAAAAATGACATTTTAACCCTGGTAATACATAAAAAAAAAAACTAAAAAAACTATACACCTTTTGCATGCCTGGGTCTTGGACCTGGTGGAACATAAGCTTGTAAAAAAAAATCATAACTTTTTTCAATTATAATCATATTGTATCTGATCAGTAACTTCTGAGTGAATACTTAAAATACTTAACGTTTTGAATGTTACTGTGTTTTTACCATGCTATTACATTAAGTTCTGTAGTAGAGGCATTCTTTGAAATTGAAAATTTCACAAGACTACAGCAAAAACCAGTGTGATGCAAGAAAATATATATTTTATCATTATTTATGAGAAATTTCATTTGAATATGTCATTATATGAAATTTATAAGAACATATAATATGAGATTTACCAGTATGAACTCCATTGACTTCAATGAATTTAATTAAATTCCTTTGAGCTTATGACTGCTCAAAACAGTATAAATTTATGAAACCTACACATTCTTTTTCTAGCAAGACAACATCAATGTTACTCTGTGATTTGTTTTTATATTATATTCTTTATATAAAATATTTTTATATATATTTTAAACAAAATATATCAATTTTACTTGCAGACACTTTTATTTTCAGATAAAAAAAGAGACAATGAACAGCCTGAATCTTCTTGTCATAATGGTTCACAAGTAGCAGCAGAGTCAAATTTGGACCCTCTCTCCTTGGCTTATGAACTTTTGATCTACAAACAGACATTAATTTGTCAGTTTATTTTAATATCAGAATTATTGTGTGTGTGAGCACAGGAAAGAGAATAAATGTAGCCTATTTTACAAAAGTTATTTGAGACAAATCGAACTAATAAATGTATTTAAAAAGAAAAAATCTGCGTAATTTTGCATGTAAAGCTCTGAATATATCAAAATAAAAAGTTATTATAATAAAAAAGCTGTAAGATGTTAAGATGTATTAAAATAGAAACAATTGTTTTAAATCGAAATTATAATTCACAATATTACAGTTTTTGATGAAATAAATGTATTGGTGAACATAGACTTAAGAATTTGTTTTAAAACCAACCTCAAACGTTTAAAGTAGTGTATAAGACTACCTCACATAAGCTACAAATAAGCTTTTGTGTTTTTTTTTTTTATTTAAAATATAATTTCTCTAAAAATATTTTAATTTAAATATGACACACTGCTATTTTAATCCATTTCGAGCCTGCAGGCCAAATGGATCGTAAAGTGGAGCCACTTAAATTAATACATTTTTGTTTTGGGTAATTTAGGATTGACGATTAACTAAACAATGAAAGATAGTCAATGTATTATGTATGGTGAATCTAACTTACTGTGCCCAATAAAGTTGTTGTATACAGGCTACGAAAACTTACCATATGCACTTATGAATTCCTCACTTCAAGAAGTCTCTTTCACAGGCGCATATTTGAGGTCTCGTAAATCTTTTCTTTTAGCATATATTTATACATTTTAGTATTCAAGCTATTTACAGACATCTGAAAATGGAGACTAGAGACTAAACTGTTTACTCCATCTCTCCACGACAGAAAAGAATGCACTACGGTTTCCTCTGGTCAGCTCTGCTCTCTCTAGAACACCACAACGACAACAAATGCCAAGACTCAGAACGGGCCCATAAATCCTATTTTGAGATCAGTGCCACAGAGAGATATTTATAGGCCTTCAGCCCCACAGATACTGGTTTATTCCCCTGTCCCCTGCCCAGTGGTTTAGGGGCTAAAATAGTAAAGAAACAATAGACATAGGGAAAAGAGGGATGGTGAGAGGAACAGGGGTGTGTACGACTCCCTGGGATAAAAATGACCCGTCTGAGGGACTCGACAGTCTTCGTTTTCTCTGTCATTATGGTCACGGCAGTTCCCGGTCATGAATTTCAAAACTCTCACTCCCAAACAAAGCCCAGATAAACCGCTATATTGACTCCAGCGTGAGAGCTCAATTCAAACAGCCTCACGCCACAAAAGAGTGTCAAAGAGGAAGATTATTTCACTCAATTAGACAGTCGTCGGCCCCAGCCCACACTTAGAAACAACTGAGCATGCGCGGTGCAAGACTTGCTTTTATAGAGAATCATTTTAAATCCATAGAATGAGGAATAGTGATGGACTGATGTTAATTTGTTAATAATTAGTAATAATTGTTATTTCATAATTATTTGATGACATGAAACTTGGCGATAATGCTAAATAACATTAAAATTATATGGGCTATATAACTATAATCATGTTGTCTGAATAAATTTAAAATACAACACGAGTTTCATGATAACCCATAAATAACAGATATTACAATTTTGTATATTATCTCTGAATAAATACAAAATCCAACACTAAATCAATCATTTTGAATGCTACCAGTAGCAGCAACTGTATGTACAGTAGGATAAATAACAATTACATTTAGTGTTATTAAAATGTTAATGTTTTTAAAGTCTGACTTGTGTTAGATAATGACAAAGATACTAATGTAAATGAAAAAATAGGGTAAATCAGCATGTTGTTATTGTTAACTAAACCTATTTTTTAATTGAAATAAAATATAAATATATATAAAAAAAATGTAACTTAAATTTAAACAAAAATAAAATGTTTCCTTGTTAGCTACCTGAAATGAAATAAGTTAAGTACTAAAACCAAAGCTGAAAATTAATAAATTGAAGCTAAACAAAAATATATTTTTAAAAAATGGTAAAAAGGACAAAAGCACATAAAAATGATAAGTTAAAACAAGCTAAAAACTATAAGCTAAAAACAAATAGGAAACTGAAAATACAAAAATAAAAGCCAATTAAAAATATTTATAAATACTATTATATATAAATAATACTCTAATAATGCTTAAAAAAAATGACCTATAGCAACAGCAGCAGTGGGTTTTGGATTTTCTTTTGACAAAAATCCAGTTTTACACTGTTACCCACTCACTACTGTTATAAAAGATACTTTCACACAACAGCTTCTTGATGAATTCTTGTAGTAGAAACCCCGAGGCTTATGTACATGCAGGTGTCAGTTCTACGAGGCATATTTGACAACTGATTTCCATTAAAGAGGTTCGTTTCCCACAACACAGAACTAGTGGGCATGCGTGACAACCGGTTAATGGAATGTTTATTAAGACTAACTGAAAACATTGTTGTAACCAGCGGCGTTGGCTGTCAATCATTACCCAAATGAAAGGAACCTTCACAAATTTCCCAGGCTGATAGTGGACCTAATAGATCCAACTAATAATTCAAAGAATACTACACAATGAACAGGCTGTATTAAAACAAAATGGAAAAAAATGTGACCCATTTTAAGTGTCAATACTGTACATAAATGTATTTTAATCATCAAAGATTTACAATATATTACATAAAAAGTAGTAAAAGAGAGGCACAATTCAATATCCAGGATATGTGAACATACGAGGCATTTTGTGATTTCAAAATACTGTTCGTTTAACACATTTTTTTTGGTATGTGTAGGGCTGGGCGATATGTCCAAAAAAATCATATCTGTATTTTTTTCTGTATTTACGGCAGCGCTCGTTCACTAAAGTCTGTGAAGTTTAGTGGAGACTAGCTTGCATCAGGCTTGTCCACTCCTGACAGCACAATGCATGACCTTCTAACATTTACAGATGGAGAATATACTTGTGAAATGGAAGTTTTGCACTGAGGAAAACAACACATCAAATGCATCTGTATCAGTATCTGTCAAAGCACCTGACGGGACAAGCCACTTGGGACAACAATACGCGTTACCTATATCTTACGAGTCTTAAATTGGGTTGTGTACTTTCCACACTGCAGCTCACTCTGTGTCCATTTTTCAGATGCGCCAATAATATCACAATACTGTATAATAGATATAAACAGTATTGCCTCATCCTATATAGTAAGTATATTGATATATCGCACAAACACGATATACCGCCCAGCCATACGTGCAGCATATTCTTCCCTTTTTTGGCTCTCTTAATAGTGTAGGTTTTTTATGTCGAAAAGCAGTATTTACAACATACTTTTTTCTTTGGCTAATAAGCACAATACACTTCTCGGTAAAAGCACCAAACATACAAACACACACGCTAGTATTCTAACACACTCAAGCACACAAACACAAATCTCCCCCCCAACACATTCTTCCATAAATCCAGAAAATCCTGAAATGATCTGTAAAAAGTCTTACAATCTCCTATGAATCTTTAGTGTCGAGGCAAAACATTTTCCTGATTACATTTGGCTCTTGGTCAGCTGTCAGAGGAGAAAACCAGCGTCTGTCCAGCTCCTCTCGCGCGGTAGCCTGACCTTCCTCAGTGTGAGCTATGCATAATCTGATAAAGTGCATGAAATCTTTGGCTATGAAACAAAGCTTAATGAAAAGGCCATATTCTTCCACTCCATTTCATTGGAAGGATCCAAACATTCAGTTTTTGCAGAGAGAGAGAGAGAGAGAGTTTCTCTCATTTGTCATCGCTCACGCTCACAGAGCAATCTTCAGGAATCTTCTCCTCGGAGCTGCTGCAGGTGGACAACTTGTCTAGGTCGTCGTCCATGTCGTTGAATCGCTCGGCCACACACTGTGCCGTGAGTCGGGCCTCGGGATCGTGGTCCCAGCACTCGTTGATGGTGGCGCAGACTGTAGCCACTCCCTGGAGACAAAACACAAGTGTTTGTAAATGCCTAAAAACAGTTTTATTTTAGTCAGTTTTTGTCTTTAGATTAAAATGCCCTTTAAATTCAATCAATATTTTGTCAAGTCATATACAAACATTTTACTCAACTAACTATTTTACTCATCTAAACAACTATAGCTATAGTATTTGAGCTAATTAACATGTTTTGGTTCAACTTGGGAACTATACTCTAAAATGTGAGACGCAGGTCAGTGAAGCGGGGAAAAGAAAACCGAAAGGTCTAGTGAGGCTTTTTTAAATGTAATTTTTTTAAAGTTGAACTTATTTTAACTTGAGCGCCACGTTTTTAGAATGACGCGTCAAGCACAAGACGCGAGTGCAGCAGTCAAACACGTCCATCTAGTATGTTTACATTGAAAAACAATGGAAAATTTGCGCAGTGGAATGGAAAACCACATTCTGTGTGAATGGCCCCTTACTCAGTATTTTGTTTTCAGGTAAAAATATCTAAACATACTTAAAACAACACTCATTAAAGTGGAAAGCAAAATGAGATGATATAAGCCTTGTTTTCAGAGAAATCTAACAACATTTTGTGTAAAAATGTATGTATACTACCATTCAAAAGTTTAGGGGTCAGTATTTTTTATGTTTCTTATACATTTGATCAAAAATAAAGTAAAACAGTAACATTTATTTTAAATTCTAATAATATTTCACAATATTTTCTACTTAAATACAAAGCTGAATTTTCAGCGTCATTACTCCAGTCTTCAGCGTCACATGATCCTTTAGAAATCATTATAATATACAGATTTCTTGCTCATTTCTTCTTATCAATGTTGAAAACAGTTGTACAGCATAATATTTTCATAGAAACAGTTTTTTTTTTTCAAAAGAAATGTTCTGTAACATTATAAATGTCTTTAATGTATCTTTTGATCACTTCAATGCATCCTTGCTGAATAAAAGTATTAATTTCGTTTTCAAAAAAAATCTTACTTACCCCAATCTTTTGAATATTAGTCAAAATGACTCAAACTAAAAGCTACTATTGCCTTCCAAAACCTCTCAAAAAAAGTTCTCGTCTCTGGGCTAATATGCTGTCTCTTACCATGTTCTGAGATCAAAATACAACCCTATGCTCTTTTACCTGGTGTTTCATCCAGCTGTTGGGGATCTCTGGCCTGCCCCGGTCTCGTAGCACATTGTCTTTCATGCTCTCCACACAGGGGTGCTCTCGGACTTTAGAGCCAAATGGAGGTTCGTAATCCTTAACCTCTGTGAAGAAACACACAAGACAATCAGATTATCAGACATATAATACATCCCCTTATGACAGCATGAAGAATCATTCTTGGAGAGCATTTCAGAAGAAGTTAGGTCGGGAGAAGTACTGAGGTTGGAAGCAAGCCCTGATAGAGGGTGGAAAAGCATGTTCCATATGCATCCGGTTATTCTATCCAGTACTGAAAAACCTCAACTGTAAATGCGGCAACTAGAGAAAAATGAAACACAATCAGTTGCTCCATCAGAATGCCAACAAATAACAATGCTGATTTTGTGGGTCATTTGTTTTGTTCATGAAAACAAATTGGTGAAATATGAGGCTAATCACCGGACTGTGCCAGCGAGCTCAAAAAAATACATTTTCCAGACCTTGTGAAACTTCCAGCTGCAGAGGCCCAATCATATATCTGTCTTCAGCCTCCATAGCCAAGTACTTGACCAGAGCCAGCTATAGCACACACAAACATGGGGTGCTAAAAATCTGCAAGAAACACCAAAACCTCCCATAAAACAGCGCTTATTGTCCTCTTCTTGGCCAATAAAAAATCCATTACAGCAAATGACGGTTGATGAGTACGTTTACTTTGGAGCGGCTTGCTCTTGATTGGAGAGCGTGCTCTGTGGTTCTTGCCCAGCACTCTGGGCCCACAGGAAGGGGCTAGGCCAGCATGCAGCCTGGGACAGGAAGTGGAGGACTGCGATTGGGACCCTGCGGAGAAGCTGACTCCACAAGAGAACGCATCCTGTTTTTGACAAGTGGACTTCCCCTGTTTCAGCTCTTAAACAAAATACTCCCACCCCTGCGGTGCTATATCTGCTGTCCTCTGTGCCCTGCGTGTGGCTCTGACCGGGCGGTGGCATTTAGCATGCATGCAATCTGTAGATGAGGCTTTCTGCAGAATTAAGGTCACCTAGCGTCTTCCTTTTTTTTGGTCTCTGTCTCTTTTTCTATACGTTTTGCTTTGCTCAAGAGGCCAGGCTCCACAAATGCACTCGCTATATGAGGAATGCCGTGGTTTTGGGAACAGATGTCCTGCCGGCTGAGGCCTCCCACCCCGGGCCCAGCTAGCGCTATCCAGGGAAAAGCTTTTAGTACCACAGTTTCCCCTTTAGATTAACCGTCTGCTACCTCCACAGACCTGCTTATCCGAGTCTGGGAAAGAGTGCAAGAAAAAGAAGAAGGAAAAAAAAAAACAGTTTAAGGGTGGTTCTTCATTCTTGAGCGCTTTTATGTCCCAGGGGCTGATTTGTATTAAAATTAAAAGCTTTTTTCCTTTTCTTATATTATAAGGCCACACAGTAAGACTCTCTTGGAAACTTTTAATCATGCCTTTATCATTTACTTTCGTCATTGAAGAGCAGCTTGATAAATTTGAGATGTGATGTTGAAAAAATATAATGGTAAATTACAAATTCCTTAAGGTAAATATAATTTCCAAACAAACACTAATTCTGATTATCATTCTGTGAAATTAAAATGCATAAACTGTGAAATTAGCATTGTTGTTTTATTCCATGGAATAAATGGAAATTACACATATATATATATGCCAGATTTCATACACTAACAGTTTAGAAAAAATAAAAAGAGCCATTATTTTCATTAAATAAAACATCCATTAATCACAGTGAGCTAGACAGTCGATCGGAGCAGAGAGGAGGTAAGATTCCTGCTTAAAGACTTTGACCTATTTAAGAGTTGCTTAGAGAGCGATGTTGCAGGAGGATTTTTTCAGGCTTCAGTCAGGCAGTTTTAGGGTGGATCAGGAATACACAACACCCTTGACTCTTCTGCGTGTCTGTGAAGAAGCTTGAGTCAGTCAGAGGCGTGGAGGCGGTGAATCTGAGACCTATACTGATGGATGGCCACCCTGCATGGGGTTCTGCCACCTGCTAGCCAGCTGCTGTCCTCCATTTACTTCTTGTTTTCCTCTCTTTCTCTGCGGAAGGGAGGGAGTTCTCCTTGACTGGCAGTGTCTCAAGTTTGCTGTACTACTCTAGACCAGGCCGCACCCCGTGCTAATTCAGGACTTACTAGCATTCACACTGAGCCGCAGAAGCAGAACAATGTGGCCACAGCTTTCCATTTCACCATCACCTACACATTGACTTTCTGCAGTCTTATGTCCCAAAAACGGTTATTTTCCCCCTTTTTGCAGGAGATCCCAGGTTTTTAACATTGCATTCAGCGGAACGTGGTAACAGGAGCAAAAACGAAAACAGCAAGGGCTTTGAGAGACAGACCCTGGGATGTCTGTCTCTACCCCCCTCAGCACAGGCTGGAATGAGACAGTCTGTCTGGGTGAAAACACCTCCAGCTCTTCAGATAAGCTTCAAGCAGCATGACATGAGGACTCCTGCAACCCCTGGCAACCACAGAGAGGGCATGCCGGGGCATGTGGGTAACTCAACTCTACAGGCACAGGGACAGTGTGAGAAACAATATACACATGCAAATACACTCATACATATCACTCATATCCCCAGAGCTGATTCAAAGCAATAGTTCCCCCAAAAATGAAAATTCTGTCATCATTTACTCGCACTCAAGTTGGGGATTTTATTTATTCAAAATATAAATCTTCTGTTTACTGTCGATTTGGAATAATTTAATGCATTCCTGCAGAATAAAACTTAATTTGTAAAAAAAAAAAAAAAAAGAAGACTATCCCAAAATGTTGAACGGTAATTTGTGCTTAAAAATCAAGCAAATGATTTTTCTCTGCTGTTTTTTTTACACCAAAACACAGAAAATGACTGAATAAATATACAACTTGTTTCTTATTTCGGAAAAGTTACTGTTCTCTTCAATCAGACTCTTAATACGCCCTATTCAGATGGGATTTAAATCAAAAGAAAAGCTCCAATAAATATTACCCCAAATTCAAAAGAAAGAATCCTGTCTGATTATTGCCATATAAGAAAATGTAAAATTATCTGAAGATAATCAAAGCACCCCCCCCCCCCCCAATGCAGGAAAAACCCGGATCACAACAACAAAATCCTCTCTCTTCCTCAAATTCCATTTGCATTCATGTTTATATTTACCTCCATAACTAATTCCAATTTTTGCTGTTGTATTTCATACATATGAGAGCATAAATAGTCAATGACAGCTATATATTGTTGTTAACGCCTATATCTGGGTGTGCCAAGAACATTCCCACCTGACCAAAAAAGGGAAAGTTCTTAGGAAGCACTTGACATTTCAAACATTCCTTACATTCCCCAAACAGTGAGTATGCCGAACCACCTCTGCTCTTGTTAAAGAGCGACTCCTCCAATAACAGGAAGCTGCAAATCACTCAAAACACAGTGTGGGCCGCAGTGGGCTTTCCTTGCAGTGTAAAGAAACAATAGCCCAATGATGGTAGAAAAAAACAACAACTAAATGCCACTGACAGAATCGGATAAAAAGGCAAGCCTATTTTCATCCATGTTCTCCTTGAGGGACAATTACAGACAGAATAGAAATAGAATAGCATTGTCTCAAGTTTACTAACCATATTGATTTGAGAAATGTTAAAATAACAGCTATGTTCCCAAGTGAGATCTTGATGATGGTTGTGTACTCACCTCCGATGGCATTACACCTGGACGTGATCTCCCACAGTACCAGGGCCATGGAGTAGACATCGGTTTGCTTGAATGACTCGATGTTCTCAAGGTTGATCCTTGATTCCAGCACTTCTGGAGCCATGTACCTGGCTGTACCCACCTGAGAATCAGATACATAACATACTTATTTAACTGTAAATCATTTGATATTGTATATCTATCAATGTCATGATAACACGGCACTTTTAATAGCAATAATTATAATTATTACAATAATGTATTTGCTACCATTAGTTAATGCACTGTGAACTAACATGAACAGCTGGATTTTATTAACTAGCAGTAACAAGGATGAATAAATACTGTAACAAATGTATTGCTCATTGTTAGTTCATGTTAGTTAATGCATTACTGTAACTAATGTTAATAAATGAGACCTTATTATAAAGTGTTACCTTATTAACATTGATCTAAATGACAAGTTCACTCACTCCTTCCATATCGTTATTCAGATAATACATTTATCTAATTGTTCATCGCTTTTGTTCGGTTAACGGTTTTGAGGGGATCTTTTTTTATTTCTTTATCTTTATCTTTAAAACATGCACACGTCACTTTATTGGTAAAGTGAGGTGTGCAGACTTCAATTTAGAGGTAAAAAACAAAACTAAAACGTGATTAATTAAACGCAACCTCAGCACTGAAGTCTAAACTCGCTTTGAATGCGTTTAGGGTCACCGTCTGGGATTAGCAGATTGTTGGCATACATCAAAGCACTCTGGGTATTGAGAGTCAGGCGATTGTTAGCTCGTTCATTACTGATTCACTCAGAGCCTTTTGTCTTTTCATTTTTAGCCTGTGAATCATAAATCGGAGCAGACAGTTTGAACAAAGGGCACACATATACATACATACACATCTGCACATGGTGAAATGCCTGAGGGGACTTTCCCAGCAAGTTATGACATGACGTCCCTGCCACTGTAAATCTGCACAATTTTAGGTATAGAACATGGCAGCTTTACCTGGCACTTACAAAGCTATAACAGCATGTGAATCTGAGCTGTCGTGTGCTGCATTGGGTTTGATAAAATACACTGCTTCAGGTGATGGAATATGGTAAAATGAGGAAAATGAGTTTTTTATCCCATTACAATCCCATAAAACAATGCAACGGAGGTAAATAAATAAAAATCAATGCTATAATATAAAACCATTGATGTATAGTCATTTGTTGTCAGAATAATATATTTTAAATTTATTGCAAAAATAAATAAGATATACATTTAAATAAATAAGATGCCTGACTTTATTACGCAATTCATGCAAGTGGACGAGATTTCGGCTGATCTCTTTCATTGCTGATCTCTCTCTTTCGTTTGTTCAGGAATTGGTGGATCTTAAAGGGATTGTTCACTCAAAAATGACATTTTCATCATTTACTCACTCTCAAGTTGTTCCAAACCTGTATGAATTTCTTTCTTCTGCTGAACACGAAAATATATTTTGAAGAAAATGGGTAACCAAACAGTTTATGAGCCCCATTGACTTCCATAGTATGGGAAAAAAAAACATCAACTGTTTGGTTACAGACATTCTTTAAATTAGGGCGGCACGATATTGGAAAAAACTGCGATATATATTGCGATATGAAAACAATTTCACCAGACGACTTGAATGGCTCTATTTGGAAAGAATTAATCATTCCAGAATGATTGGGGTGATTTTTTTAGGCGAGTGAATCTGCATAGAAAATAAATAAATTACAAGCATATAGTTAAATACAATAAAACAAACAGTGCTTTGCTTTCAGGTAAGTCTTACAGAAATTGAATTACATGAAATAACACTGCAAAGTCTGCTCTGTATAAATTAAATATAATTAATTGTTGTTAAAGCTCCCAAAGCTTTTTTCTTTTGTTGTTTGATTAACATTAATGACAAATGGCAGCAGGTTTATAGACTGCTTTCACTTTAAGACCTAATGCACAGATCTATACGCACCCGTTTTCTTTCTCAATTGTTTGCGTTCACTTAAGACATAAGCGCCTGTGTTTACGAGGATACTCGGCGAGACGGGCATTGTGACATAATTTTGCATGAATATGTCCGTTCAAGCACAAAAAGATGAGAAAGAGAACAGAATTCGGTGTCCACGCGCGCGCACAGATAACAGACCGCGGGTTCAGAATTGAGCTCTCTTTCACGTCTTCTTGCGCTTGAATGCTTTAAACTCGTTTGAATGTTTGAACTGACAGGACTTAAAAACATGTGCAAATAATTAGCGAATCACCTGATACATCATGCAAACGATACATCATGCAGCCCTATTCAAAATATCTTCTTTTGTGTTCAGCAGAGGAAAGAAAGTCATACAGGTTTGGAACATCTTGAGGGCGAGTAAATGATGACAGAATAATTTTCCTTTTTGGGTGAACTATCCCTTTGAGTTGAAATTACGATGACTGATGGCTTCAACAGAAGCGTATATCATTAATATGGTCAGAATGCACCATATGAAATATTGTTGCATATACCTGTCCACTGTTGGCCAAGTCATCCACTGAGAGTGAGTTGTCCAGACGGAGGCCAAGCCCAAAGTCACAGAGGCAACAAGTGAGGTCATTCTTCACCAGGATGTTAGAGCTCTTCAGATCTCGGTGGACGATGGGCACTTTGGGCCTCCCGCAGGGGGTGTGGTCACTATGCAAATGAGCCACACCCCGGGCCATGGAGGCCCCAAGCACTCGCAGATCCTCCCAGCTGATGAGGTGGCGCGTGAGATACTCCTGCAGGTTCCCGCGTGGGTGATAGGCGGTGATCAGCCAGTACTGTTTCTCCACCTTCCTCTCCTCGGCAGTCAGGAAGTGTAGAATGTTCTCGTGCTTCAGATCGATGTCCGAGAAGATGTCCTTTTCGTTCTTCCAGGATGCGTACTCTTCGTAGGGGAAGATCTTCACCGCCACCGTCTCAAACTGTTCCGAGGGGCTTTGTCTCAGTTTGGCTTTGTACACCTCAGCAAAGCGGCCCTTGCCTACCTGAAGGTCCAGCTCAATGGGCAGAGGATCCGTGTTGTGGTTGAGGTTGTTGGCGTGCGTGGAGCTGCTGTCCGAGCGGTCATCGTCCATCATGATGGCGCAGGCATCACTACAGTCCAGCGGGCCTTTGGGGCCTTTGCGTTTGGACGGCTTCTTTGTCTCCCACTCATCGAGTTTGCGGCGACGGTACATACGATACCAGTAGAAGGAGGCGATGACCAGCACAGCCAGAACCAGGAGGGGTAGCAAACTGACCAGGATCACCAACACCACCTGGTTATTTGTGGGGTCTGGACCAATAGCTGGAGAGAAAGCAGAGGATGTCACAACATTAACCTCTACACAACACAAGGCAAATGCATGTAACTATCTAAACTAGTTATGCACATCTTATAAATCAATACAATGTAAAAAGTTAACAGTTCAAAAATGTAACAGTTCGCCCTGTATACAGGAATTTTTTTTTACTATGAATCTACATAAAAACACATGTTAGACAAACAATATTCCCCATATGTTGTTCCAATTATCCTAAAAGAGTAAGTTGCTTGAACAATGTCATATTTGGCTTTCCAAATATTTTCTTTTCAGAGGCCAAGACTTTACCATTAACTATGTTAGAAAGAAATAATGACAAATCAATATTTCTTGTGTTGCCAATTGATCATTTGTTGAACAAAAAATCTTTAGTTGCCCTGACAACAATTTATTGGCTGAAGGCATTTTGCATTTAATGAATGATCCAATAAAAATTGGCTAAACAATATAGTATTACTGGGAACATTTACATAAAAAATAAGAACATAAAAAAATAAGAAAGTAAATAAATAACATTAATTTTAATAAGATTTCATTTACAAATAAAAAAAATAAATGTTATAAAATGAATTAACAGTTAATTTAGTAAAAAAAAAAAAAATACATTTAAAATAATCTTTTTTATTTATTATAAGACTAATTATAAGATTGAATTAAATGAATTAAATATACACCAATACATTATTTAAATTAGGAATTCAATAAAATCTCAATGCATCATGTTGCATTGATAAAAAAGAAAGAAATATAAAGAAATCAAATATAAATGTTAGTAAGAGGTAGTGATGCTTTGTAACACCATTGTGTCCTTGAGCAAAGTTAATAGTTAAATGACTCCTTAGCGTAAATGTCCAGAATTTAGCGCCATTTCAAGTATCAGCTATAACCATCTCGCTATACCTAGTTTGACTGAACTCCTAATCATTAACTCAGTTTGTAAGCAGTTTTTCCTGCCACACCAGGAAGCACGAGTGAAGCTCGCACAGTGGGAGTCTGTTCAGTGACTGCATCCTTCAAGGGAAAGTTTACCCTTCTACGCTGTGTGCCTGCCAACCTCAGGATTGGCTTAGAAGCCCTAGCGCTGCAGGTTCAATCCAGAGACAAAGTGAGACCTGCCAACTACGTGGGCAGAGAGTGGAGTCAGTGTTTCGTCTGTCTGCATTCTTCCATCAAACACACAGACACGCCTTATCATAGAGACACAGAAATAAAAAAAGAACAGAAAAGGATACACGACACTGGGAGAGGGAAAACGTCAATAAATGCCAAAGCGTTTGGCAGACACAACAGTCAGCAAACACATACACAAACGTGTGGTGCAGAGGGAACACTTAACCCTTCACAAACAGCAGCAGAAACCTCTTCTGCAGCCAAACAACCAAAATAAACATGCATGAAATCACAGCGCTTTTTCCAGCCACATTAAACAGGATGCCAGCCACACTGCTGCGGTCCATGACATTATCAGCTAATAAGAGGCACTTTTCTGCAGGCTCTACCGTTAAACGCATCACTGTACATCTGTGCCAAGGTCTTAACAAGAATCAAGTGGATTACACTTTCCAAAGCTTCTGACTCACAAGTTAATCTATTAAAATTTAATTGCTTCTCATGGGTGGGGTGGGTGGGACGGGGGACATGTTTCTTATTAGTGCATTAACAAGCACCACTATTACTATTACCATTGCTCATACTTACTAGAAAAGGATTCATTAAAAGGCACAATATGTACGATTTCTGGATTCAAATATCCAAGAACCACTCGAACAATGTTATATATTTTATTGACTTGTGTACTTGCATTATCCCAAATGTTTCCAACGTTTAAATCCTGAGTAATCCGCAATTTTAACCAGTGCAAATGCCCGTGTTATTGCGTCACCTGTCAGTGACCCTCGATTTCCAGTTGTATATCTGTAGAAACTAAGGAAACCCCAACGAAACGTCGTTCCGCTCCCAATGCTCTCGGCCTCACCCTGCTTCACACCACAGTAACGTTAATAAAACTTTAATACATTCGCTCATCCATTAACATGAGTCCCGTCGGATTGCTTTACACCAACCTCTAGCGGCAAAACTCGCATACTGTGCTTTTAAGGGGGCGCAGAATATATCGGTACCATATTGAGTTTTTAATAACAGTATTGGTTAATATTGGATATTTGATTTGGTTATTTCAGCCTATGTTTACATTACCTTTGCCTTTCTGTTGCTTAAAAAGCAGAGCATGGCGCAAGCAACGGCAAGGTCATGGGTTTGCCTTCTAGGGAATGCATGAATTTGAAAAAATGTATAGCTTGAATGCAGTCACTATTAAATAAATGTACTTTTTGTTTGCCATCATCTAACACACTTAAAAAAAACACTAATTTAATAACAATTATTATTACACAAACTTTAGCAGATCTCAATATTAATAACCCTTTTTCATATTGCAATTGCGTTGACTACTTGTAATATTTTAACAATTTCAGTGTTTAGTAATTTTTTTACTTTGATCAAATACAAAAAAAAACAAAAACATTTTACCTTTTTTTTACATTTGTAGGTTAATATCTTAAGATATTTCTTTTTCTATAAAAAAAATAATCAATTAAATTTTTCAATCCTGGCACTCACAAAAAGCAACTTATCACCAAAATACTTTAAAGCTGAGCATGACTTTCCATGACTTAAAGATGTATGAACTTTTCCAGTTAATAAAATCTCTGAACATGAAATTGCACATATCCTTTAGGTTAACTGATGTGACAGGCCAATTCTCTCCACCCTCTTGCGAATAAGCTTCGGTCTGCTTTCATTTGTTGGCTGGGCATCGTTAGCTTGCTTTGCTTTTGAAAATGTCAGAATTCAAAGTGAGGATTCCCATATGTACATGTTATTGCCTTTTGGATCCCTGTCCTTATACGGAATACTGAGATTGATAACATGCTCTACATGAAAAAGACAGACCCCTGTTACTGTTTGTTTGTTATGACTACGGCTTTGTTTTATAGCATGGCTCATACCGCAAACAAGTCTGACTTTTCTTTTTTTCTCCCTCCCTCTCTCTCTCTAACACCGTCTTGGTCTCTTGTTGGCTTTCACGGTGTGACTCAGACATTTTAACTATCTGCTCTACAACCGGAGGCCAAGATTCCTCAGCATGTGAGCGTGGGTGTGTTTGCCAACCAGCATATATACGTGCAGGTCAGGGTTGGGTTGGGTTGAAAATAAAGTCTACACAGACAGACTGATCCTCAGATTGCACTCTTCTTCCTTTCCTTTATGTTCTTCTTTCCATCAAAATAACCTATGATAAAAGATCAACTGACTAGAAACATATTGTCAGGTTGGAAATATTCCAGTGAGACACAGACGCATGCTTATTGGTCCTGTCAGGCCAATGGCCTGGATTGTCATCCTGAGAAAGAATAATGCATGCTTTCCACAAGATCTAAGAAAGAATATTTTGCGTAATGAAACCAGCAGTGTTGGGAATAACATATTACAAGTAACGCACAATGATCCGTTTCAAGTAAACTGAATCAATCACACAAATAAAAGTATATATTAAATAAAACAGAGAAAATACACTCAAAAGTAATTAAAAAAACTAAACTAAAAATAAATAAATAATTTGTGTCTACGGAAACGGAATTAAAAAGAATCTAATAAGAATTGTATTGACTTAAAAGACAATAATTAATGATAATAATCAATAATCATATATTTTTAATAATATATTTTGATAAATTATTAGGAATAAAAGCCAATTAGTTAAAAACGTAACATTACATTATATGATAAACTGTTAGCCACAATTTGTAATTCCTGTGTGAATACATATACGCCACATTAAAACATGGTATAGCCTATGTCTATTGCATTCCAAAAATGTAACAGGATTAGTAATTCGTAACTCCAGCAATGACCTATAACAACCTAGTTGAGTGTGAATCTCGTTCACTGTGCAACTGTGATGGTATATGCATGTCGTGAAAAAGAAACAAGAGAGGCTTCCAGGACCTCTAAATCAAGACGCCTCCAAGGTTCCATACACTTCATGTTCCTTCCGATTGAGCCAATCAAGTTTACAAGTCAAATAACAGAAAAACATGTGTGCAAACCACAATGAAAAGTTCAACGCTCCTGACAAGCTTTACGAGTTGCTTATTAGAAACAAATGCACATTTGCTGAAGCACTCAGGCAATAATGGCCACCAATGTGAAGAGAGTAGCAGCAAATATGTCTGCTTTAAACAGTGACATCAATTTGTCTTCATATCTCATCATGATCCCATTTCAGAGCCAAATTTAAACAAACATGATGTTACGAAATCATTCACTAAAGTGCTAACCGTTTCCGTGGCTTGTGCTTTCACTCACTGTTTGCTTACTGGAATGTTTGCACAAACTCCATTTTGAGGAACAGCACTAATATTCTGCAGGTGAGCTGGATACGTTTCAGCAGAAACTGCTTTACAACATTTAAATTTTTTTTCTTTGGTAAACTAATGACAGTAATCCACAGTTAACCACAGTTTCCCCATTTCCCTCAATTCATTTTGTCTGGGGCTTTGTCTATAAGACATAATCATATCTTCATGCTGTATTCAAACAGCATAATGGCTCTGAATGTGGAACTGAAATCTTGCAATAACCCAGACAGCTACATAGTGTCGGCCCAGATACGGCCCACATCTGGGAATCCATGGAATCCATGTGTACCAGATGTGGGCCGGATCTGGGCCGACACTATGTTGCTGTCTGGAAACCCACTGGGATATATACTTTGAATAGACCAATACATCAGTCAATATTTATATCTGTTTGTTTATCTATGATGACTGATAGTCGTCCGGCAACCCATCAAGAAGAAGAAAGATATTTGGGGCACTTTAAAACAATGAAAAAATTAATATATAAGAAAATATAATGTCGTTCCCGAGTACAGAAAATGGATATTTGATTCACCTTTAGTTTTCACAGTGTACTTTCCACCTAAAAAGTCCAACTAGGCCAAAAATACTGTAAGCGTGACTTTCTGTTTATTTGATTCAGCAAAAAATATGTGTAAAATTGCTATACGAGAAAGCTCTGCTGTGCAGTATGTAATTATAAGCTGGTGTGTACACCCTGCAGCTGCCATAATAAAGTCTCCAGTCGAATACAGAATAGGGAGCTTATCGCTGTAACGTGCAGGCTCTCAGCCACAGTTAATGTCATAAAAATGTTATGGTCCGGGAAAACAATGCCAGGCATTTCTTGAGAAATATGCCATGGAACCGTTCCAATAAGTAAACATGGACTTCCTGCAATACTTCCCTACTCTAGCAGGGAATGAGGCCTCCTTGACCGGATGGAATTACAGCCTCCCTAAACTGCTTCTACATAGTCAACACTACAGGCATCAAACACCTGCTCATACATACTGTAAATAACATACTGAATGTTATTTACATACTGAAATAAAGGAAGCACATTCGCCACAGGATGCCCCACACCTCGGAAATCCCTGTGTACTGTTCTAGGTTTTATAAAAACATACAATGTGGATGTTGCTCGCATAAAAATGAAATTGTGGCTTTTTAAAATGTACAAAAATTGCTATAAACTTTCCAAATAGTGGTTAATAAGGTTCTTTTAGAGCATGCCTAGTGCACACAGCTGTTTTGCCATGTGGTTGTGATGTCTCTGCTTCAAGTTACACAGACAGGAAACCACATGTCTGAGATCCTCAGCCGTCCACACAACCAAAGCCAATAGAAATCCAGCCTGAGACAGCACAGCCTGGCCAGCAACAATGCAGCTGCTTTAGAACGTTACGACAACCTGAGCTCACATACCAGAGCGAGGTACTCGTTATGAGCCAGTGCTAAATAGTTAGCATTGTATGCTAATGCAGACTGTTTCAGCTTGTAGTTAAATATGTTCTGCTGGGGTTTGGGATTAAATTCAGTTGAATGCTATTTATCTATCTAGTGTGGTGAAAGAAAGTGTAGCACTAGCAAAACTAAAACTAGCTGAAACACAATTCATTATTTACACAACGTTTCTATAGTCTATGGAAAACCTCACAGAGGCGTGATGTAGGCTACATCAAATGAGATGCTTCAAAAGTTCACAATGATCTAGTTTCGCTTACCAATTCACATACCCACACGGAATCTGAAACTGCAGAACGCTGAAGATTAACACAGAATTGGAAAGCCCCTCATTCGTAAAATTATCACCCTTTCCATCGGTGTTATTTTTGCATTATTTATATACTAATATGTATTAGTATTTTGAAATAGCTTAAACTTTGATATTTTCAGTATTCATTTAATTTAAGTTTTAGTAATTGTATGTGCTTTCGTCATTTTTGTTAATTTTGTTTTATTTCCATTTAGCTATTTTTATTTAACTTTTAGTCATTTTAGTACTTTCACTTATTTGCCAATGAAACATTTCAAATTAAGAGTTTTTCTCATCTAATATTTATAATACATTTTATTTCAGCTTTATTTCATTTTCAATTAACAAAAACATTTTTTCAATAGTTTTTGTTTTAGTTAACAACATTAACAACAGTGCTTGCTTGGCATCTAAATGGTGTCCGCACCCATTTTATTTCCATAATCTACTGTATTTCAGAATGAAACAGGATGTTAAACACGCAAAAAAAATTGGGCAGGGCTTGATTTTATCCATCAGGAATTGATTGGATTGTGAAAATCACCAGAATAGAGCCAGGTGTTTGGAGGGAAAGGGATTTGTAAAAATTGAACATTATATTTTTAGGTCAGCCAAAAAAAAAAAAATAAGGAAAGTTGTTTCAGAGGAAATGCTGATTTTGATGAAAAATTATGACATCAGGTATTTTTCGTTGGAATAAAAGACAAGGAACATGTATAAAGAAAGTACATTGCTCAATTGATTATGCTTTCATCTACAAATAAATACGTACTATTCAGCTTTCAGTTGAACAAATTACCATGTTTAAATCAATTCCTGCACTTTTCCACAGCTCCTCCAGAACTTGATTCTGCCGATTCCGTCTGGGCCTGTCAACCTGATCAAACCGAAGAACCTTTCTCAAGGACACAATGGTTTGAATTTAGGACCTGCTGTCCTAAACCACTACTATCAATGACACAAGAAAGGCAGGATAGACAAAGCTAGAAAGGAGGAATGAAGAGAAAACTAACAGAATGTGAACATCAGCTTGTCGTTGCACTCATCGCCCTTGCAGGAGCAGATGTAGAAAGGGCCTGTGTTTGACGTCTTCTTTCTCATTTCACACTTGGTGTTGTTGTAGTTCTCCAGCATGATGCCGTAGAGGGGCTCAGAGGGATTGTGGCACAATGTCTCAATCGTGTTGTTGTCATTGCTCTTCCTCCTGATGTCAAAAAGAGAACGCAAATACAATTACACTGTGATTAAAGGGATTATGATATCAAATGATAGTTCGTTTCTAAATCCAAAATAAATTTTTGTTATTTTACGTTTTTAATCAAATATAAACTGCGTATCCCCTTGTTGCTTCACCAGTAAACATAATAAGCACTTAGATACAGCAATGACTTGTTGCTATTTTTAACTGCACTGTTTACATAATTAAAGACAACATGAAATGGCATCCACAGCTCATTTAACTTCAACGTCACATATTTCAGAGTAAAACAAGGTACTTGATATTATTTTTGGTACTGGATTATGAAGTATATATTTTTTCCCCCCACACCATTTGGCCTGGGTTATGTCAGTAGAAAAAAAAACGTTGCTTCAGAAGTAGTGAAACTACTGTTTTTAGAACAATATGTACTGAGACCAAGGGCATAAATTAAGGATTTCATGTCTTGTTTTTTTATCTATTTGAATAATATTGCATTCTGTAAACAAGATGTCGTTGCGATTTTTGACTATTGTGCAAAGCAGATGTTTCACACTTGATAAAAAACATGGCTTTGACAGTGACGTACCAGATAGCCACACAGATCTCATCAGGGTTGGAACAGATGGACGTGATGCTGCAGTTGCTTTCACAGGTGCCGGTGCTGGTGCCGTTACAATAAGATGGCTCCACGTCACAGAACTTACACAGTTGAGCAAGTTGAAATGGCTTATGTAAATGATGCATCCCATCTAGAATAAAACAGAAACAAGATCACGCGTTTTACTTACTTTTTTGTACTATTTACTTGTGCTTGACAAAGTAATGAGCAAAATGACATTTTACCACTAGGAAACCCTATATGAAGTGAATATATGACCCTATATGAAACCCTATACGTTTAAAATGAAGAGGTCTCAGACGTGTTTTTTTAAAAGTTTGACTTTTGAATATTATCTAAAAATGCAATGCTTATGGTTTTTGAGCCACAGGCGTTACACCATGTCAAAACCAGACGCAACTCAGTAATGCTGTATATACACTGGTTGTAGAGCGACAAGACATTCCAACAGTAAACTGCTGCCCCGTTCAATATCTGACATACTTCAAGCACTCGCGCTACTTCTGACACAAAGAATAAATGGATTTTTGCAACTATCACGTCTGATGTAGACACGGACGGTGTTACATTAAAATATCAAAACGAGAAAAAAAAAAAGAGTCAACCCGCTCACTAACATTCAACCACAGTATCTGATCAAATGAAGAAGTCTAGAGATGTGCAAAATCTGTATTAAAGTCAAATGCCCTTGAATAGTGTCCTAAGTGACTACAAAAAAAGTGAAATATGAAATGCTGGATGTTTCTGTTATCAGATATACATGCTGCTCTTTTTTTATCTGCTTTTCAATGCCCTGTTTGAACCTGCTTTCATCTACAGCACTCTTGTCAGGTTCCTGAAAATCTAACCTAAATGCACTGATGCAATCAAGCAAACACTAGCACAGAGAGACCAAATGGCGTCAAACTCCTGTCTCTGAGCAAAGACTGACATCAAGACCTCAGATCAGTGGACAAGTTATGCTTCTGCCACTGGGTTAGTCTGTAGATCTTAGAGACCCAGGTGAATTCAAGAACACGCAAGGGGTTACTAGTTTGGTGTCGTATGAGTCATTTCTAAGTGTGTATGGTTTCTCAATTGCAGCATGTCTGTGTTTGGCCAATCCATATGAAGTCGTTAAAATGTATTACGTAATCTGTTAGTTTAGCTGCTCTTTGGAGTACCACACACCTCCTAGACTTTCCTGTGATAAAAGGCCACCGTGGCTTTCTGGGACTTAAAGGGGCACTGGTTATTTAAACACACTGAAAGACATAGAAGCAAGCCATACTGCAAAGCCCAACTGATATTTAAACACATTAATCATACAGCAAACTCATTAAAACAGCACAGTACTGTTCTAATTATAATTAAAGGGGGTTCAGTGGAGAAAACATGAGGAAATGAACAGTTACATAAAAGTACCTTCATTGCAGTGTTATGAAATAAATAAAGTTGGAATAAAATAAAATATAAAAAATAGATAAAAACAATTATACATTTAAATGAAAATATAAAATGTTGCCTTTGCAACTAACTGAAATAAAATGACTAGAATTGAACTAAAATGAAAATAATGCTAAATAGAGACTTTAAGAAAACTAAAAAATAACACAAAAATGACAAATATAAAATATAAAAAAATGATATATACTTAATATATGAATAATAATAAAATCACACTGATTCATACGGTATTTAAATTAAGTGTGCACAATATATCGGTACAATATCAGTTATCAGCCGAAATTAGTTTTTTTGTATCATATTGGTTAATATTGTACATTTAATTGTGCATGCTCATTTAGACCACCCTTATCAACACCCAACAGTCCCTTAAACTTAATCTAATAGTTTAATAACATAACACCGTTAAATGTAATCTTTAGCAAATCTCAAAATGAACATACTATAAATTACAATGGTGTGATGCCTATTCACAGTATTTATTTTAGTATTTAACATTTTGTTTGTCATTTATTCTGACAAAATAGTATGGGATATCCCATATTTGTCTACCTTCAAGACTCAGCTAAAACATATCTATTTCATATGTATTTTGGATAATGTGGCTACATATGGCCTTATGTGTTTGTATGTAATGTGTGTGTGGGTGTGCAAATGTATTGTAAAGTACAATGTAAAGTGACCTTGAGCTACATAAAGGTGCTCATCAGTGGTCTGCTGTCTCTAATATCACCTCAATTCGCCGACTTTCACTGAAAATGAATGATTACAAATTGCTGTCAGTGTAAACTCCACTTAAAATTGAAATTCAGGTCTCAATAATGGGGATAGTTTCTGATACAAAGAGGGGCGGTATGACAATATTGTAGAGCAACAATCGCAAGGCCTCCGACCATCATTTTCCCTTAATTCAGCTCTCGCTCCTCAATCTATCTCCGCTGCTCTTCTGGAAAGGACGGAACAGGTGACCTGACCAAGGAAGGAAGCACTGATAGAGCGGATGTGTGGCTTTCCTTCCACAGCTAGAACAACAGCCAAGACACTTATACTGAAGAATCAACCAACCAATCACTACACAAACTCCCCTTTGCAACACTAACAAGCCCATATTATTAAGCAATGAGCGTTGCATGTTCAAATTATGGCTGAAAATAGATTGTAAAGTATGTTTCTATTATATGAAATGTTGTTTAAAGGCACTGTTTTGTGGCATTATAGGTTTGGCTTGACTGCAAATTAAAAACATATACAGTATAATACCATTTTGTCTTATGATCCATCCACTGTCATTTTTGGCTGCTTTAGCTCTATCTTTAGAGCCGGGCAGATAAGCAGGACTATGTGCCCTTTTAGTCTCTAGTTCATTGGAGCGAGCCAAGAGGGGATTGTGTCGGCCACGAGGATACAAAGACAAATATGGTCAAATCAGATGCAGCCATTTTGGGGTTATGTGACTCCTCTTCTCATCCCGAGATAGCTATTTTTGAGTTCTCGGCGTAGAGGCCCGGAGAGGCTTCGGTAAACACAAGATCGGACTCACAACCTTCATCCACTAGCCTGAGTCTCACATGCCTTCAAGGGCCTACAAAGGAGCTTTTTTACTCCGTAAGCACTGCTCACTGACTCTTTATCTACTGCTTGGTCTGACTGGATAACATTATATACTGCAGAGCCATTACCTCACACTATTTTCTTTGGACAGTATTCATAACATAGGCGAAATTATGAAATCTGATTCTGGAGGATTTTTTTTTTCTTTTCTTTTTTTTACTTCAAAATATGTGATTCTTGTCCAGAGGGCCAAAGGGAAATCACTTGCACTAGTTTGGCAGTTTAAACGGTTCTCTATCAGATTTGAACAGGTCTTTCAAATGTCATTTAAGTACTGAACATTACGATAAGCAGTGTACAGCTCTAGATAAGCAGAACAGGCTCTGGCGGTCCATTTGGGCCCCTAAAATGGTGTCTAGAGAGAGATAGTTGTCAACTTTATTTTAAAGATTTGTCTGCTATGGTATTTCAAAGCAATTAAAACTACGGTAACTGTAAAATTTAGGACAATCTGAGCAATGCACTTTTAAACTTTCACTTTTAAACTTGAGGATAAAGTGACTCAACAACAACAACCAAATGTGTATGAGTTTGTTACTTTTTGTGCATGATGCAAAAAAAAAAGATACCTATAGGAAGGCAAGTGTCACACCTGCATATGTGGGTGTCTTAGGCTATTTGCAATGCAGGGCATTGCACGCGGTTCAAAGTAGTACTACTGCTGTACTATCACAAGCATGATTTCATAATACTATAATGTTTCTTAAGGACATATACCATGGTACTACTATGGTTTTTAGGGGCCAAGCACCGAAGGTGCGGAGGCACCTATTGTATCTGTTCCCGTTCTTATTATTCTTCCTTTTTCTTCCGACTGGGCGTCTATGGCAGCCCATAGAACCGTGTCCGGGAAAGTTGTTCCGGTTTGACATTCTGATAGAGGACAGTCCCAACAGTAATTGCACCAATTTTGGTGTCTCTAACTCATTGCCTCTAGCGCCACCACCTGTCCAAAATTTCAAAATCATTATGCTAATAACTTTTGAACTGTAAGGCCTATCAACAAAATTCTTTTTTCCTCTGATTCCTGAGCTCATGACGATTCGATCCCACCCTATGACGTCATTTTCCGTCATAAAAATATGGCCGCCATTTTGAATTGTTTAAAAAACCTACTTTTGCGAACTCGTCCTAGACGGTTTGTCCGATTCTCACCAAAATTGCACCAGATCATCCCCAGGCAGTGCCGACAAAAAGTTATGGAATTCAAGTTGATTCGCTTAACGGTTTTCGATAAACGCGCAAATTAATTTTACGTAGCGCTTGCGAAAACAGACGTAAGGCTGTATCTCCGCAACGCTTAATCGTATTCAGACCAAACTTGGTACATGTCATCACAAGCATGACTTGAGGCTACATGCTGCGTTTCGGCGCAGCGCCACCTACTGGTCCGGAGATATGAAAAACGGCTATTTTCGCTCATAACTTCTGAACGGTTTGTCCAAAAATCATAAAAGTGGTCTCTTTAGATTCAGGGCGTCATGCCGAGTCGACTGATATCCAATTTTCCCAGATCGGCCATTTTGGCTGTCGGCCATTTTGAATTATGTGCTAAAATGCTGTATTTTTTGAACGCATGAACGAATTGTTACGAAACTCGGTATGGGTCATCAGTACGATGCCCTGAAGGAGCCTGAGAACTTTCGAAACAGCGCCACCTAGTGGTAAAATTTATTTTTCAAATGCTTATAACTCTGGCTGTGGTTGACTTATTTTCACGGGAGTCATCTCGTTGAGGTCCTGAATCGTTGCCGAGTCCAGAGATACCAAATATGCTAGGTTTCGACTTACGGTTTGTGTAGCGTTGTGATTTAGCGCTTAAAAAACATTTGCCGATATCTTCGAAACCGTTAGTCCGATCGAGACGAAACCACCGTCAGAAAATTGGAAACATAGGTCGATAGCTAACCGCCAATGCCCAAATGCCAAAATATTGATAGTAAGGGGTCGTAAAATTCAATCAAAGTCACGTAGCGGTCATTTTTTACGTGTTTTTTCACATAAATGTCTATAACTCTGAAGTTAATCGAGATATCTTCACCAAAATTGACACACAGATGTAGGGGCTCACTCTGAGGACACATGAAAAAAATTGTGGGATTTTGCCTCTTGGTGGCGCTATAATAGAACAAAACATGAAAATCCCATTGATTTCAATGCAGTTTTGTGATGTGAAATGCTATACTTAATGAACACATTGCTGTAACATTACGAAACTCAGAATTTGTTACCAGCACCTTGCCTTAAAGGTACTCAAAAGATTTCAAGACAGCGCCACCTGTTGGTCAAAAGTTAAAATTACATTTCCAAAAATGCTAATAACTTTTTTAAAAATGTGCTTATTGTAATGACACTGGTCTTAATAGATTCCTTGGGTCATGCCGAGAACATAGATACCAAGTTTGACGTATTTGGACGAACTTCCTGTCCGCCATCTTTATTTACTTTCAGAACCTTCTTTTTCGAACTTCTCCTAGACCATTCGTCCGATTTTCACCAAAATCGAATCGTGTCATCTCCATACCGTGCCGACTAAAAGTTATGGATTTCGTGACGATAGAGGAAACCGTTTTCGTATACCGCAGCAGCAAAGTTGAGGCATGCTGCCAAAATGACTATTAAGTCTTTATCTCTGCAATGCCTTCACATTTTGACACCAAACTTTGTATGTGTCATTGTCACCTCACTCTGACCACATCACATCGATTTCGTAACTGCGCCACCTATTGGTCGAAAGTGATAATCCATTAAATCATCTTAAAAGTTACTGTATATATGATTTTTTAGCCATTTGCCCAAAATTATCTTAAAATGTCTTTAATTGCTCCTTGCTGCAATTGGTCTGCCACTCCCACCCATGAGGGCATCTGTTGCCGCTTCTTGCGCTTGGCCCCGGTAATGGCTGCTTGCAGCTATATTTTTTATTTGTTTCCTTCAATTACTATAAATTAGAATTAAGGTCACCTTAAACTAGTTTGGGATGACATAAAGGATTTCACGAGTTCACACTTATAAAGAAGTCAGGTAGAATAAATGCGTATTTGGCGTGCTGTCCGAGGAGAGGACTCCGGGCTCGGTATTCGGCCCGAACCCAGAGTACTTCCCCGTATTCCTAGCTGTGAAAGAACAAGCGAAGAGTGAGTCGTCGGGGTGGTGGAGGGATGCTGAAAACTGTCAAGGAATGTTAGGGGAGTTGACAGAGTGAATATATATGCTTCTTTCATGCCGATAGGGTAGACATGGTAATTGTTTGATGGCAAGTTGATTGGATTGATTATTATAACGTGCTCCTCCCGAACTTTGTTTATGAAACATTATATAGTTCTGACATGTCATATTTTAAGGAAATGCCAATATCCTACCAACATCCTTTATGAAGGCTATTTGTTGTACACAAATATGGCAATCATTCAGCACCATGGTTTATATCAAAGGACCATAGTATTACCATCTGATATCATCGTCAGCCATTTCATAAGGGGTATATAACTTATATAACACACACACACACACCCCTATGTAACAATGTAACATACATAAGCACATAGCCTATATATCTCTATCTATCTATATATCTATCTATGACGTCAACATCAATTTAGATAATAATGAAACATGCACTAAGATAACGTTTTTTACAAACACAATGACACCTCTGCTCAGGTCACTCATATCAAGAACAGATGTGCAAAGTTTAGCCTGCACAAGACAATAAACCTGCATTTTGTGGGACTGATGTCACACTGAAACACCTGAGCAATATGCTGCTTCTTACATAACTCCTGAAAACTGCACAGGAAAAAACAACGCTGAAGTTGGCGTTCACTGAATGCGTTCACCTGTTCCACGCTTTTAAAAGCAGTCATGGGTCTCCTCTTGCACAAAAACACACATTTACACGTGAATATACCAAGTTAAGGAGCACGCGAGAACCGACTAGCGACTATGTTCCGACCCAGGACACCCGTAGATATCAAAAAAGTCCCCCCAAAAAGCAGAGAAAGCCAATATTGCTCCATTAGAAATGCAATCTGTCCGTGGTTCTCGCAATAATGTGAATTACAGATTTGAACAGGTCTTATTTCTAACATAACTGTACATTTCGATAAAATCTGAGCACAATTAATTGTACTTTAAAACTTGAGGGGAGAGTGACTCAAACTCATGCATTTTTGTTGTTGATGTGCCTGATGGATTGGCTTAAAATGACCTATGTGTAGGTGAGAAATAAGAGTAACATTCTAAGTAAAGACACCAATAGGGGGAAGGTGTCGTACCTACATATGGGGCTGTCTGATGCTATTTGTAACGCCTAAACTGCATTGGCTCAAATGCAGCACACAGTGCTAGTGTGTTTCAGCAGCGAAGTGTGCAGAACTACATGCAGCCAAGCAAGGCTGGAAACAGGAAGTGGCAAAGATGTAGCCGGACATCTGGAAAATATGATTTCTGTAAGAAATATCTCTGTTCCTCCACCAAACGCAGCATATGCCAGCGCCGTGACATATATCCTGCTGTATAATCACAGGCGTGAGGTGGGGAGGAGTTCAGTGAGTGTAATTAGTGTCTAAAGTAACCTGTAATCACAGAGGCTGAAATTAATGACAGGACAGAAAGAGATAAACAATTTATACCAATGGGAGGAAGGATGCGGGGCTGGGTGAAATGGAAAAACGTCTCAAGCGCACTGTCAAACACTTCCACTACAACTGAAAACACAAACTCGTAATGTTTTTCAGCTGTCAGCTCATAAGGGCGTTCTCTTGTGCGCACACACACTTTTAAGGGAATAACAACAGAAACAGTCTGATGCATTAACATGTTAAAATGTCATGCAGGCGATTAGAGGAATAGTGATTGATTCCCTTGCATTTCAAAGCTACAGGAGACAGAATGTATATCATTTCAAAAGTACCAAAAAAAAAGTACCACAGTATGATTTCATAATACTGCAATGTTGCATACCATGGCACTACTATGGGGTTTTTGAACATTCATAATTGTTATTTTGTGTGTTTACTTCTATTTCTATAAATTAGCATTAAGGTCATCTTAAACTAGTTTGGGATGACATAAAGGACATAGTTCTGACATCGTCATATTTAAAGGGAATGTCAATATCCTGCCAATATCCTATACTTTATATGAAGGCTATTTGTTGTACACATATGGCAATCATTCAGCACCATGGTTTATATCAAAGCATAGTATTACTATTTGATATAATTTTCAGCCACTTCATAAGGGGTATAACATACACATTGCATACACACAAAGGCCTACCCTATCTATCTATCTATCTATCTATCTATCTATCTATCTATCTATCTATCTATCTATAACGGTTTTATAAACACAAAGACACCTCTGCCCAAGTCAAGAACAGACGTGCAAAGTTTAGCCTGCACAAGACAATAAACCTGCATTTTGTGGGACTGATGTCACACTGAAACACCTGAGCAATATGCTGCTTCTTACATAACTCCTGAAAACTGCACAGGAAAAACAACGCTGAAGTTGGCGTTCACTGAATGCGTTCACCTGTTCCACGCTTTTAAAAGTAAGCAGTCAAGAAACAAACGCTGCTCTATGATCTCACGAGTCACAGTGGATGATACAAACATGGGTCTCCTCTTGCACAAAAACACACATTTACAAATTACACGTGAATATACCTGCCAAGTTAAGGAGCGCGCGAGAAGTGTCAAGACTTTCACTCACCGACTACGTTCCGATCCAGGACACCCGTTGATATCAAAAAAGTCCCCCAACAGAGCAGATAAAGCCGATATTGCTCCATTAGAAACGCAATCGTGTCCGTAACCCTCGCATTAATGTGTACGTGAACAGGCTGGCGTTGTTTGACCAGAAAGCGTAGAGATTTTAGCGTCTGATCCGGAGTGAAGGAGAGCGTCTCATGCTGCTGAAGTGAACAGTCACTGAGGGAATCTGTGAGCTTGAGTCACTTTCTGCTCGCCTAGTCAAACAGGAAATCTTTCAGAAAGGGCAGGACTTTCCTCCGTCTCCCTCCTTCTCGAGACAGTCTTTACTCTTGCCCTGTAATTATGCCTTCACTTCTAATTTTATTGTGTAGAACTTTAAATAATACGTTGACGGCATTATCGTGGGATAAGTGTCGTTTAAAGACGATGGATGCCTTCAACGCGACGCTCTCGCTTGATGCGGTTCCTTTATGGCATTTTTTGGGTGGAAAATATCTGTCTGGTTCTCACGATTAGGTGTATAGGCTACTTGTTTAATGAGTTAATTATTTAATAACGAAATAAATGTAAATTAAATAAATTGTTCTAAAAGACACTTTTAAATACCAACATAATAGAACATTAAACATTAACAAGTCTCTCCATTTTCTCATTTTGCTAAAAAAAACAAAACCACAATGCTAATCTGAAATTAAACCTGCCTCCTAGTTTAATTTAAGCCTCAATTTAGTCCTGGAGTAGCTAGTCTTCCTCCAGGAAATCATCTTATTAAACTCTGGACTAAACTAAATCTAGGACTATTTAAAGCCATGACAGAGTTAATCTGTTAATCTAGTTTAAAGGGCCATTTTAGTCTAGGACTTAATCTCTGTCCAGGAAACCGCCCCATAATGTTTACCTTATTTAAATACCATTATGGTTACACTTTAGGGTTCTTTTAACTACGACTTTTGTCTCAATAGACTAGGCCTACTAATTACTGATGATTAATAGTCAGTAAGGTAGTTATTATGTTTAGGTATTAATAATAGCCTAAGGAATGTAGAATAAGATCATGGAGAATAAGGCATTAATATGTGCTTTACAAGTAGGCTACTAATAAACAGCCAATATCCTAACAAGCTACTAGTTCATAGTGAGAATTGGACCCTAAAGTACCAATCTTATTTATTTATTTAAAAAGCCAAAAGTCAATGCCCCCACATAAATATATTAAGACCTCTTCAAACAGTCAAGTTTAGGGTTAACTATCAATCATAATTTGCATAATTTATGTACAACAGAAGTCAATGACAAGTAGCCTATATGGTATGTCTATATGGCATGACTTCATTTAGATAGCTAGTAAACATGCATGCACATGTATCTGTGTGGCCCACAGTGACTTTGCCTCTAGAAACAGTTGCTGCCCTGTAATCATTATACCATAGCACTTGTTATAGTGGACAACATAAGTGATCATTAGCTATGTCAGGCATCAAGTTTAAACCTTACCAAGTTACAATACAGCTGTCCCTGACTGTGATTTAAACTGTAGGCCTACATACGCCGTCTCTTGCTTGATTGCCACAGGGATCCTTTAGATTATTTTAATGTTTTTTTTCCTTCTTCTGAGAAGCAGCTAATGAAAGTCATCAGAACAATGTGGTGTCTTATATTTAAGTCAAACTTGAGGCTTGTTTGTTGGATGGAGTAGAGAAACAGGTCTGAACGTGCACAAAAGTGCACAGCCACAGCAGATATGCAGAGATAGAGAGCAAGAAAAGAGAGAAAGAGGTCCACTTAGAATCAAAAACAATCCAGCGAGCACACATGATGCCGACAGGGGTTGCAGTCAGACCAACATTGCGCAGCACGTGGAACATTTAAAGCTGGGACTGCCAAGATCTGAGAATGATTGATTATTGTTGGTGTATGATTATGTTGAAATCTTTCTCTGGATTTATATAACAGTGCTAAGAGCACGCCAGGGCTCTCCAACAAGCATCAGGACACTTTATCTTCTCCGCCGATGTCTTCATCGCTAATGTTAACGTTTCTATCTAAAGGGGCATTCAAACAGTCATTTGAAGTAACAAGGCGACAGTAAATCATACATTTTCTGGCATGGGCATATACTGTATATGACAAAAGCATTGTGACAACATATAATGAATCATGTCAGAAATTGTTGATAATCGATCTTCATGATGAAATTGGATTTATCTATAAACACTTTCTCCACAATAATCTCAATTTTATCATCTGGAAAACTTCTTCCTTGTCAAATTAGTATTAATAAATTAGAAAATCATATTTTTACTGCCAATAAATCTAGGTTTCAAAAGGTATAGCCAGTTGCTTAGTCTGTTTAGTTAAGAAAGCATCATATTTTTGGTACTGATGCACATGCCAGAGGTGAATTACACCTCTCAGAGTTCGAAACATCCTCTTGGAAAGAGCAGAGGGACTTATGAAAGCACTGGCGAGTGTGTTTGAGTTCATGTTGCTCAAGTGCTGCTTGCAGAAAGTGGGGATGCCTGAAAGGGTAAAAAATCAAGATATGGAAAAGTAAGAGAAACTCGCTTGCACAATGAAATTATGGAGTTATGGAGGCTAAAACAAACATCTATCTATCTATCTATCTATCTATCTATCTATCTATCTATCTATCTATCTATCTATCTATCTATCTATCTATCTATCTATCTATCTATCCATCTATCCATCCATCCATCCATCCATCCATCCATCCATCCATCCATCCATCCATCCATCCATCCATCTATCTATTGGCCAGCCAAATGCTACTTTGCATGTGTATAAAAAATAAACAGTTAAGACAAGTAATAAAACATCTTTACAAGTTGTTTGAGACTTTTATGTGAGAGCATGCTTTATACACCTGCCCTGTTGGCATCATCTCACTCTATTCTAACTTTTTCAGAAACACCTGAAACATCTGTTCTGACATCCATCGGTTCCACCGCATTCAGGCCTGAAGCCATAAAGGTAAACGAAACTTTCTCGCGGTTAGATTCATCTGGTATATCAAAGAGCTCAAGTGTGTCGCGTGTGTCTTGTTGGCTCTATTCTGAGCACACAAAGGTTCAGGAAAGGAGAGAAGTTGGGTTTCTGTTGGCATGCTTGCTATGACAGGCATGTCATGTGTATCTCTGCTCTCCTGTCACCTGAACTCATTGTGGAAACCAGAGGAGATGCCAGAGATGTAGGGCCGACACAGTAAGCTGTTGAAGAAGGCCGAGTCGTTTTTATGGCTGAGATAATCATAATGAGGTGGGCAAAGATGAAAGGTGATCTAACTTCACAACACGACTTTATGTAGAGCTGGTTTTTAGTCAGTTTTTGTTGTGTGGAAGCGTGAGTGTTTGTAAGAAATAAAAGTGGTTCTCAATGTGTTTTAATGCACTGTTGACCATGACCCAGATTTTACATTGGACATCAAGGATGAAACATGATGCAGTATATTATATTACTGTAAACATTGTGTCCTAATCAAAACACAAAACATCAACAAAATATATGGATTTTTTATTTATTTTAAAACTTGAAAAGCTCCATTATCTTTTCTAAATATGCATCATTTGCATATATAGCACTGTTTTTCAGTCTGTGACACTATATGCAAATACACTGTAAAAAAGTATATGATCAATGAGTTGACATGTTTTTACATTGGTTTAACTCATTAAATTAAGCTATTTTAAACGTTTTTGTTATACAAGATTCAACTAATTTTTTTAAAAGTATAATGTAATTTAATTTTAAATGACTTAAACATCCAAGTTAATTGTACTTAAAAATTTAAGGCAGCAACTTTTTTTTACAGTGCTTATGACCTATTTTTGCAGCACTCAAACCACAGACATATAGTTCTTTGATTGCAGCTGGAAATTTCCTGTACAAAGTTTATCTGACAGACTTATTCTTTAAAATACAACATTTCCGGTGTTAGCGATAGCATCCAGAATACAATGTAACAAGCTAAGGGAACAACAGATGACAGATGGAGGCAAGAATAGTATAGATTATTTTGACTTACTATTTAATTAAAGATTAAAAATAGTCAATAGCTATTAGAAAACAAAACGAAAAACTATATTGTTTTTTTATTTGGTGTGTGTGTGAGGAGGAGAGAAAATGAAGATATCTATATGACTTATTCTCATTGAACTAGATAGCTTTTTTTTTTTAAAAAGAAGCTTTTTTCTTCTTCTTCTTCTTCTTCTTCTTCCAAATGACATTATAATGCTAAGATACTTCAGACGTTATTGTGAAAGTTGTTTGTGATCTTGTACATTCAAAGTGAAAACCGCTTTCAGCGCAAGCATGAAGTCTCCGAATGATTCAAACTGTGAACTCGCTGTTCGACAGATTCTTTGTAAGGAACCGAATCAAAAGATTCATTATCATTCATTCACACATTCATTCGGTCTGAACAGCACACCTTTCTCCACATCAAATGAGTCAGAACCAAATCCCAGATAAGTCATCCCTCACACATTTTCCCATTATCCCTAAGCTTACAGGGATGTGCAGAGTATACAAATACACTTGGAAATAATAACATCATTGAAAATGGGGCGAGGATAAGGAGGGGCTTTTACATTCTGTCTATTCAGACTAATCTAGTGTATTTAAACAAGAGACCTTGACAGATGACTCACAAGGATTATTGGAGGACTTCAAAGTTTTGGTGCACATTGTTATTTCTTTACTGAGCCCAATGTATCCGATAAAATCATACTCATATATGCACAAGAACACACACTAACTCAGACTAAATATGAAGTAGTACACAGGAGATAAACACACACTCACGCTCAAGACAAGCACACTTTGTTTAACCCTCTGATGGTCTTCAAAAAAAAGTCACACTCATGGTCTTCGGGGTCTATTGGACCCCAGACAACAACATTTAATTTTGTAACCGAACAATATTTTTTTTTTTAACAAATATAATTTTACTCTGTTTATTAATGTTTTTACTCAACATTTGTGCAGTTTTTGGAGAATTTATGATTTTTTTTAAATTATTATAAATAAATAAATAAATATTTAATTAAATAGGATTTTTACAAAAAAACAGCATTTTATGTTAAATAAATTTTATAAAAGACCCAGATTTCTAACTTTCATTCCTGGGGATACCATGGATAATTTTACAAGGTTTAATGTAAGATTTTTGCCCATTTTTTGGAAAATACAGGTTAAAATTTGTAATAAATCTTTTTAACCACTAGATGGCTATAGAGCTCCATTATATGCTATTTGCTATTTGAATTACTGAAAGATTTAGTTTCTAAAGTTGGATTCAGTTGGATTCATATCTAAATATTATAAAATCACAATTATAACAAAAATAAAATATTTTTTGTCAAAATTTAGCATTTTT